GGCTCGGTCCACCGAGAGCGACAGGCCATGCTCCTCTACAGGCCCGTTCGCAGACGCCTTCTTTCCAACCCCTACCTGACGGAGGCTGAAAAGTGCGGACTCCTGACGACCCGCATTTTGCCATGCTTCTTGCACGGAGCAGGAATGTTAGTCCTGTCTACCTCACGTGAGCGGGTCAAGTTCGAGGACACGGTGTACCGCATGTACCGAGGAGCCTTCAGACCCATCTTGGGTGTGTCCTGCAAAGGATTCACCAATTTGGAAGTCGTCTCCGCCTTAGGAATGCAGACTCCCGATGAGCTTCTCCTCACGCACAGGGCACGTACCCTGGCGGAAGTTGCCAGAGCCGGTCTCTGGAGGGTGTTGAGCTGCCTACAAGCCACGAGCCCGTGGTGGGCACATGCGACTGATGCCGCCATCACGGTCGGCCTCCTCGACCGACGGCCGGAGGATGTGGCGGAGCTCCAGCGGATGCTACGCACAGATCGCGGAGTTGTCTCGCGACTGTGCTGTAAGTTCTTGAAAGAAGGCCGTAAGGGGCGCAGTTTCGACCGAAGTCTCCTTGTCGAACGAGAGGCACCTGATGAGGCGACCGCAGTCGCTGCTGGTGGGCCAGGATTGCCTTGGGCCTGCCCCCAGTGCAGCAACTCATATGCTTCCTACCGCCAGCTCACTGTCCATCTGGCGCGGCGGCACAAATGCCGCAGCCTTGCGGTGCAGAGTGCCTTCGGCACAAGCTGCCAGCGCTGCTCCCGAGAGTTTTGGACACTTCGGAGACTTACTGAACACTTGTCCCGTTCAAAACCTTGTCTGGCTGCTTACCACGAGTCTGATATCTGTCCTGAGGCGCCTGCCCCCACGTCAGGTTCGTACGCGTGGAGGCCTGCAACCGCGGTTGCTGGCCCACAGCCTTTTTGGGCGACTCTAAACCCGGAGATCGGTGAAACCGGGCCGGAGGTCGCCGCTTAGGCTTTTTTCCGCAATCTGCAGACTTCAGTCTGCCTTTTCACCGTCTGTTTTGAGGTGCGCCTGCAAGTGCGCTTTTGCCTCCGAGGACCGCATGCGAATTGGCCGCGCACGTTTGTCTGGGGTGTCCGCCAAAAACCCCAGTTGAGACACTGCCCACTCTGCCCAGAAGACCTGTCATGAATCAACCCGAAGTCGTGCCCTCAAGGGTTTCGGGGTTTCAGGTTCGGGGGTTCAGGGTTTAGGGTTCAGGGTTTAGGGTTTCGGGCTTTTGGGGTTGGTGGGTTCAGGCTTCGGGTCGTTTTCACTGGGAGCAAGCTTTGGGAAAGTCATGGCCTGCCCTCAACCCTGCTGCCTCCGTGTGCATGGCCACCGTGTCCATGGTCAAATCCTCCAACCTCGGCAAAAGTCTCAGATTTGAGTTCTAGGGAACTACGTGGGAAACCCCAAATGACCTGCCTTTTGAGTGCTTCATAAGGGAACCATAATAGGGAACCCGAATAAAGTAGGTCCTATAGGGGCCAGTTATGTGGGGAAGACCAAGATTCGTTTTGTTCGGGCTCAAGGGGTTCAAGGTTCAGGGCGTGTAAAACCCTACATAGTTTCAATGCAGAATCCTCACACAAGTAGGTCTTCATGTTCCCCGAACAGTTAAAGATTACTCCGGGCTTGAAGACTTGAAACCTGTGCATGGGGGGTTTCCTCGGAGATTTTGGGCTGAGATTTATTATTTGGGTTTAGGAAGGGGTACCAAGAAAACGTTTTTAAACCCATAGCACGAAAGCCTAAACCATGATCTCAAACACTCTGAGGCACAAGCCCTAGACTCCTGGATTGCACGCCCAACCTTATAGAAACCCTCCAGCTTAACCCCTAAACCCTTTAAAGGGACTCTATTCTGATAAAGCGCAGAAGCCGAGACCCTGACAGCTATTCTAATTATTTAGGCCCCTATAAACCCTAAACTTTAACCCTGAACCCCAACCCCCCGAAACCCCTCAAAAGAACCCTATTCTAATCCTACAATCCTATAAAATAAGGCCACCATGTAGTCTAGGATACCCAGTAACCTAAGAATAAAAAGGTCTCTCTTTTTGGTATTGGGTAACTTTATAAGGAACCTAGGACTACAAAAAGGGAATAAGGGTACTACTGGGCATCCTAGTAGTACTCCTGGTGGTTTCAGACCCTGAGGCTCAGGCGTCAGAACGGCCGTTCGCTCCTCAAGGCGGTTGCTGCTTACAAGCGGCTTCAAGGGTTTAGGCTGGTGGTTTAGGCTTTGGGGTTAGCTGTTTAGGTACGGTTTATCTGGGGTTTGCATCGGGTTTAGAGGGTTTAGGGATGCTGTCTATTTGTGGATCTTTTGGCATTATATTGTGTTTGTACAGGGCCTGTGGATTTTTCTGGAGCTGGAGTAAAGTTCAAAAAGACAGTATTTGGCCCGACAACCCTGACAAAGCAACACAATCCTCTGGAAGTAGTGCAAAATCGGCATTCCCTGTCGGACCTCATGCAAAATCTATGCAACCTTGTCTAATGATAACCCACACTGTACATGGAAGCTTGGCGCTCTAAGGCTCTAAGTGCACCCTACACCGTCGAATCCCAACTCTATGGACGTCAAACCCTATGGTTGGAACACAGGCCATGGACATACTCAGGGTTATGATGAGGTGGCCCGGATCCCTCCGTTTAGTCTAGTGCTGTAGGGTTTAGGCTCTACAATCTGTGCTTGGAGCCCGAATCCCTACGACGCAGACATGCCGTGTGGATTCTCCTTCTGCTCGCCGCGCTCGCGTTCCAGCTTCTCCTGTTCTGCCCGGCGCTGCTCCATCTCCGGGGAATCATCCTGCACGGGAAGTTTTGCTCAAGGTTTCAAGGACGGGCTCTGAAGGGTCTCCAAGTCCAGGGACATTACCGCTCAATAAGGCTCAAGGAAGCATTGAACTTTAGGTTGTACGAGGCCTCCAACACAACTACTATATTGAAGATTTTTAGTCAAACCTAGAGCCCAAGCCCAAAACCCATAAACCCTGATAGAATGCATATCGTAACCTCCCAGAAAAACACAGTAACCTTTAAAGCAATCCCGAAAGCCCCTAAATCTCGCAAAACATCCCAGGAGATCCTCCGCGGCGATGGTGGTGAGATGAAGAACTTGGGCCGGGTCTGGCTCGAAGCTGATCCTCGCCTGCACAAGTGGGTTTCATAAGGGTTTCGGGTTTAGGGTTTCATAAGGGTTTCATCATAGCTTCGGGTCTAGGGCTGAGGGCTTTCAGGCTTGAAGATGGTCTAAACATGTTCAAGCCTTTTTCAGGGTTGAGGGCTTTATAAGGCTTGAAGATGGATTAAGCATCTTTCAGCATGCTTTTTTTATCGGTTTGGGTTCCGATCGATCTTTGGTTTGCAGGTTTTTTGTTGGTCAGGGGCTTTGGGATACAGGGGGATTTTAAAAATATACTGGGAATGCCAGGTGTGTTGTCAGTAATCAATCGTTACTGTTCTCTGGTGGGATTCAGGCCTTGAACTTTCGCACTGATATAGGGGCCGCAATAATCAAACAGAATAGGGTTTTGGGGTCCAGGGGGTCCAGTATACCATAATTCTACTAAGAACCACCCCCCCCAAAAAAAAAAAAAAAATAATAAATAGTACGGCCCCGATACCAGGGGTTTTGGAGGTTGGAGCTTCTGGATGTGTGGCTGAAAGCCAGTAATGAAGCGGTGAAAACTCTCAGTGAGCTTCAATGTTAAACGTTGCCAAGTTCAAGAGCGCAGGCCCTAATTGGAGCATCATTGGGACGGACTTAGTCAGCACAGTTAACCTTTACTACCGTTTATATCTACATACATACATATATATATATATACATGTACCCTAATACAGTCCTAGGATCCTTCAAGTAAGCACCGGCCAGTTCGGGGTCGAGGGGTCCAGACTTCAGGCTCGCATCGTGGAGTGTGTCGACCTCGGGTTGCTTCGGCCACAAATCCAAAACTACACAGGCCACCAAAAGCTGCGGGTTATCGTCAGGCTACAGATTGCGGACCGAATCATTCACAAAGCTTGACGAAGTTGGGGTTGGATATCGAGGTGATGTAGGGGCCTTAATGTGGATTAAGGCTTTTGGTGCAAATGACGGTAGTGTTATTATGTAGCGCCTTGAGGGGATGTTGGCATTACTGTGTGACCAGAATCTAACCTCATGGGTGCCAACATGCCTAGGATGCTTGAGTGAGATGCTACGGAGTCCTAGCCTGCATAATCCCTGCAGAAATCGAACAGCCCCTCTCGAAGCACAAGCAAAGCGCACACTACATAGGACACCCTCAACCTTTGGATCCGAAACCCTTGAACCCTAAACTGAAGCTCCCGAGTCCTACACCGTCTTTTGGAAACTTAGCTCATTTTCTTCTGAGCAAGGCTCGGGTGGCATGTGCTTCAACTCAAGCCTGCCTATCTAAGACAGCGTTTGCCAGCCTTCATGATGAGTTTTCAGGCTGACTGACGCATGAGCCTACTTCTCAAAGCACCCGTGCTGTTTCGGGTTTCTGTTTCGGGTTCAGAGTGATGGTGCCCCAAGTCTCAGCCCTTGCTCGGGGTTGAACTTCATAAGGGTCCGTCGTTAAAACAAAAAATAAGTAAGTATATAGTATATACTTATATATATATATATATATATAATTATGTATACTGTAAACACACATATACCTGCGGTCCGCCATTCTCTGAACCTGCGGTTTGAACCAGCAGGCGATAGCCGCCACTAGATCCGGAATATGCACAAACTATGTGTGGAGTCTGGCCTCATATCAGGCTAAGGCGCACAGTAGCGGCCATGTCAAAGTGCAGCAGGGTGCCCAGAGTTCATATTAGGGGCCTCCATACGCAGAATAGGGTTTTAGGGTATGCTAGACCATACTTATCCCCAAACATAGTCCTGGGAATTTAGGCCCCTGCAGTACTGCAACAGTGGGTCGTCAGCAAGTCGCGAGCATGGGTGCTTTGGCTACCTACAATGGTGCTACAGCGTCTCAGTCGCGGAGGTCGAAGTTTGTGTGGCTGAACCTCAGCTGCCATGGTTCAGTGCAGGGCATAGGAGATTGTTCTGAATTCTGCGTCCTATAATACAAAAATGGCAATAATACGTCAGAATTGACAATTCATGTACATATTAATAGTAGTCATTTAATAGTACTACTAGCATAATAACAATCTCTGCATCTCGAAAACCTTTGTTACCTTTGCTCGTAAGGAGCCGGAACCTTGAAGCGGAAAAAAGCTGCGACCGTTGGAAGGCCTGGGAAAGCCCACGACTCCACACCCTACCCTGAACCCCAAACCCTAATTAACCAGTGGTTTTGAGGGTTCCCTGGGTTCTTTAGCTCCTACTTTGATAGGGATTATCATCATCCCTGGCTCCTTAGCTCCTCCAATATCACTAGTAAGCTTAACCCCAAATCCTGAATCAAAGCCCCTCCGGTTGAGCCCAAGCAGCTCTATGGAGGAACCCACACAGTCGCCCAGGCAAAGCGCTCCATGTGTCCAGCCACGAGCCCTTGCATCGTATACGTATAATAAAGTATAGTATAGCATTGTATGGTATAGTACAGTACAGCAAATGTACAGCATAGTCTAGTATACAGTATAGCACAGTATTAGTAAGGGATGCTATAGTATAGTGTAGTACAATACAGTACAACAATGTGGACCATAGCCTAGTGGTATAGTACGGCATACATCCCAGGGCCGAAAGTTTTTAGATGCCGGGCCTGTTAGCATGTTACAGACCGTTGATCGCCATGCCGGTCTAAACCCTAAACCCTAAACTAGAACACTTCTTCATTGCGGGCGAGGCCCTAAGGCTCACTTGTGTCAGGAGTCTCGGGAAGACAGTGGGGGCGCTGGCCATCTTCGTTGTTTAAGCAGGTGGGTCGAACTATGGCTCCAGCGCAGTTTCACAGTACAGTATACATAGTGACATAGTATAGTATCGTACCATCTACCAATGGCAATATCAGTATTGCTGGTGCCATCACTGGAAGCACGACCGTATAGTGGTTCTCGTTCATACTGCACAAGGTAAACTTTCGATTGTCGCTGCCGTTCTTTTTGGGGGCAGCACTGGTGCAGTTGCAATCGCGGTTGTGCTTGTTTCGGTTGCTGCTGCTGCTGCTGCTGCTGCTGCTGCTGCTGCTGCTCCTGCTGCTGCTGCTGCTGCTGCTGCTGCTGCTGTTGAAGTCGGCGATGCCGGCTCTGCCGGCGTCGTTGTCGGCACGGCTACCACTATTCGGTACGCCCAGCACCCCTTGGTAGTTACAACAAAGTTTTGGGATGCCCCACAATATAAGCTATACTACAGGAACCCTGACAATGCTCTTCTAATTGTTCAGGACCCTTTAGCAAACCACCCTAATCCCCAAAATACTAAACCCGCAAAGTTTTGGGATGCCCCACAATATAAGCTATACTATAGGAACCCTGACAATGCTCTTCTAATTGTTCAGGACCCTTTAGCAAACCACCCTAATCCCCAAAATACTAAACCCGCAAACCCTAAACTCGAAACCCTAAACCCTAAACTAATATAGCACCCTAAATAGTAGGATCCCTATTATGAGGACCCCTGAATAAGGTACCCCTAAGTTTCGGAAACTCCCACAATGATAACGTCCTGAACTCGAAAGCATCCTGGGGCTGCTGACAAGAAGAGCAGATCACCAGGCTCCTGGAGACAGCGCAAGGATCCGGGCCTCGGTCATCAGCCCTCCCTATCATGTAGATTATTGCGCTGTTGAAGGATATAATTTTCCACCATGCCCTTCCTATCCCTTTTTGTTAAAAGAAAGTATTATACATGTATATGCAATAAGTACATGAATACACATTACAAGTGTAAAACGGCAAAGCACTTGTCTAACGCCCAGCGGGTCCAGGTCTTAAAAACCATGCTACTTGGGTACTTAGACCTGCGGCTTGGCTTGTTCCATCAGGGCGGATGGATCTTGCCCGCTAGCCGCTAGACCCCAAACGACCTTTCTTAAACGACCTCACAAGCACACGCCTAGCACGAGTATGTTGCGTGCATCAACTGTTTGATCTGCTCCGCTGAGCGCGGCACGCTCCTTTGGTGCGCTTGAGATACTCCTTGGACAGCGAATTCTGACGGTCATGCGGGCTGCTTCATGGAAAAACACTGGAAGCTCACTGGCATGCAGCTTGTCAAACCTACAGGATTGCGCGGCTGAAGTCTCGAGTGCAACATTCGGCAACTGAAGGCCTTTGATCTATACCTTCGTAGAGCCAAGTCAGTCGATCACTGAAGCCAAGCATCGTACATGGGCTCGTGGGCAACGATCTCGCGGCCGGGCGGATCCAGGTACCACACTTTCGTGCCATAGACAAGAGAATTCCTGAGCAGATGCACCAGCACATGCACACAGAGAGGGGAAGAGGGACAGACATAACCACAAAGACAGAGGCACGATGGCTTAACGGGTCAACACGATGTTGCTCTGCTTCCTTCCATCCATAGAGTTCGTACATGTCTACGATCGTGCTGAGCTGCTCGCACGACCAAGTGGCATACGGGATGTTTGTGCAGTGCATGTCGCACCGGCTGCATTCTGACTCTGACCCACAATCAGTGCGCTGAGCTCAGCCCAATTTTTTTCCGTGCTAGATTTTGGCAGCAAGAGACTGTTTATGCACATCGCAATGTGACAGATTGCGCTTGTAACGAGGGATCTGTGATTAGGATTAGCAAACAGCTCTGGGCGTCAAGGTTGAGATACCTGGGTCGAGGTGCGCTTTCGAAATGTCTCCTGTGACTGATAGCAGATAGCAATTGCAAGAAACAACTGATGCGTTGGAATGCTCCGAAGCATTAGCTTACACAGCTGTCCTTGCTGACACTAGCTATGGGGGCACGATATGCTGCTGTTGGTTGTGTGCTGACGCCCAGATGGCTTCAGGTCTGTAATGTAGGGGCCTTAATAATTAGCTATAATTATTTTGGGGATTCCTCATTATAACTATAGTAGAATGGGCCCCAAAACCCTACTATTCTAATTACTGAGGCCCCTATATTAATCTGAACTTCTTCGGGCGAGGCACGCCGAAGGCCCGTGATGATGCGGAGGGGTGCCAGACAACACTCCGCCCAGCAGAAATATGCTGCCCTTGTGTTCGACCTCGGGGTGACGCTTCCGAAGCTGGTGGTGGCAGGCTCGACGAGTCGACGAGACTGCCAAGTGTGCAGTAGCAAGGTGAAGTATTCAGAAGCCATAGACTTGCAAGTACTGCTTATCACGACGCAAACGACGAGGATGACGACTAGTACTCGTACTCACACTGCGGCGAAACTGATGAAACCGAGCACCTTCGACGACCCATTGGCTTTGCCAGCTGCGACAAGAGCAAAAAACTACTCTCGACCGGACCAAAAGGCCGAGCATGTGCCCTGAAACCCCGTGTGCTGAATATTCACTTTTGCAAGTATTCTGCCTCACCTTCCAGAATGGTGCACAAGGAACAGACTGCAGTGGCAGATAGGTTGATGGCCATGCTTCGAGCCCGGCCCAGACGATTTTGGCAATTGCCACACCGAAGCCCTTTAGCCTTAACCAAGTGTCCCGCAGGCTGTTTGCGCGCGGGGTTTAGGGCTGCTGGCCGAGATCACTGAAGGTGCGCAAGTTGTGACAGACGAACATTATACGTTGGTAGTTATCATCGCCGTCGTACTTGCAGTGTTCTTCGTGGTCGCAGCGATACTCGTGATGGTAGAAGCTGTGTAACAGCAGCAGCACTAGCATCACTAGTAATGGCAGTGGCAGTGCTGGTGGTAGCTCTCTAGCAACTCTAGTAACTACCCTCGTGCTTGCACCACTAGCCTAACCCCAAGGGTCCAAGTACCTAATAATCATATACTCTCCAAATTCCTAGCTACAATCCTAAAACCGAGTACCTAATTATTGGATCCTTTGGACCCTTGGTGTACTTGGAGGGTCGGGGGACTTCGTAACTGGTTATTTTAGGGACTTACAAGCATCCTAACCCCAACTAGGGTTCCTTTTAGGGGACTTCTAAGTCTGCTTACTACCTACTTACCACGTCCCCCGACCCTCCAAGTAAGGAGCTCTGTGGGATCCCCACCTGTCCAGCCAACACCTCCGGCAGCACGGCGGAGAAGTTGAGGTAGACCTCGTTCACGTCGAGAGATAGATACCCATACTGGAGCCTTGGACGGGCATACCTGTAGTCTCCAATTGTGGTTCCTTTTTGGGTTACCTTATAGGATCCTCAATATATAATTGGCTAAACCAAAAAAAGGAACTACAATGGAGACTATAGGTAGAGTTTGGGGTGCAAGGTCGGGGCTCGGATTTGGCAACCTCTTCAGTCTTGTCTCCCCGTTTTCAGGCTTATGAAGCAGTCCATCGAACCGCAAGGGAAAAACTCTGAACACCCAGAAAAAAAACGAACCGTTATGAACCCTAATGGTGGCGAAGAGCTTCTTCTTTGCGAAGCTCACATCCGCCGATCGGTTGTCCATGAGCTCCAGATATTCCCTGCAAGTCGTAGCCAGGGTTGAGGGTTTAGGGTTCAGGGCAGCTCAAACATGCAGTTGCCAAGCTGAGAACAATGCTCAGATGTAGTGCCTAGGGATGGGGAGTATGGCAGCTGCCTGGCCCTTTTCGGACAAGACCTACTTGGAGGTTCATGGGTAGTTAGAGGTGGGCTTAGAAGTCGAGTAACTCTAACTATAGCCTATACATATTGAGGGACTTACATCTTTACTTACAACTATCCGTGGAACTCCAAGTACTTTCCCTTGGGATAGGGATGCTTGGAGGCCGCAGCTCGACAGCTCATGCGCGAGGTGTAAATTCTGGTACCTAAGAGCTCCAGTTACCTATGGATTGGGCTATTGCGGTATGCAAGATATGGTCAGTACCCTACTACGAAAAATGGGTAACTGGAAGTCTACCGTCTAGTAACAACAGTAGTTGCTTGAGCCCCTACTCAAGATACACTTAACATGCTTCTAAGCCGACACAGACCGAAGCGCTAGCTTCTGAAACGCCAGCAAGCCCCACAAACCATAATGGCCTCACTAAACCTGATGATGGTTCTTACACCAGCCACCAAGTCATCCTGCCTCAAGCTCATCTTCAATGGTCTTGTGCCATCGAAGGCCTGGTTCACGCTGATGTGGCTTACCCTAAGACTCACAGTATACAAAGAGTACCTACGTTGGGGCCTAAAGGCCTATAAATAGGACCTACTTGGGCTGTTTGGAATGTCAGGTTTGGGTTGAGGGCCTATAAGGCATGTACGCAGTAGCTTTTTTTCCGACGCTGGGTAAATGTGGTTTTGCGTTCAAGCTGTGGGACCACAGGCTGCGCAGAAACACTGTTGCTTTTGTGGGGATGGCGGGGCTCCAGGTAGGGTGGTAGAATTCGGGATGAAGATGGTATATACTCTAATTTCAGACTCGAAGGTTGTCAACTCCGAGTAAGCTTGATTTACCTAGTTCGGCTCGTGTTCGAGAAGAGCGTTTGCTAGCAAAGTCCTCAGAACCTTGCAGTAATCTGGGTAGTTGTCAAAAATATGGCCCTTTTTGTAAATGGGTACCCTAAATATTAGGTGCCGTAATATACTAAGGACCCAAAAAGGGACCATAATTTTGACAACCACTCATCTCGACCCCACGATCCGGTACTTAGCAGCATATTTCTGTTGGTGCTAAACTCAGCAAACGCAAGCAACCACTCAAACCGCATCTCTCATGATGGTGATGATGCCTGTCATGGCGGTTGCACCATTTTGCTGTTGCTCTTGATGCTACTAAGTCCCCCGACCCTCCTGGCTAGGGTACTTCCCGCCTGTGCACGTGGAAACAGTTCAGCTTCCACCTGCGCAGCGTCAGCTTAGATGGCAGGGAGGGGCGAGGGACTGCAGCTAAGGGTAATGAAGGAGCCTGAATATTCAGGGCAGGCTTCTGGGGTGTATTCCAATATATAACTATAACCAGGTACCCTCCAGGAATGATATTTTCGAACGCTAAAACCCTATAAACCTCAAGGAGTTGTGTTGTATAAAACTGCTATAGCATCTCAAACGTTGACAGATTGCAGTTTAGAGCTCTTTTAAAGCCTGAAGGATGCCACGACAGTCTCTCTTCAGTCCCCTCACTGCAGCCTCGAAAAACACACGCACATTCTACTGTTTTGGTTTTTCTAAAGTACATAATGGCCTTTTCTCCGCATCAGACATACGGGTCCTTCACTTTCTACTGCTTATAACTATAGGGTTTATGGACAAGTGTTTTTTGGAGCTCCTTTTTGCAGCCTTTCGTGCTGCATGCTCAACGGGAAAAGTTTAGGGCATAGGGTTCATTGGCAGAAGATTTGCGTCTGTGCACTTGCATGCCTGTAACACCGCGGATAATTTTACGGCTCGATTCTTTGGTACGGTATGGCACTAACCCCTGGCTACAAGCGAGCCTCCAAGTAAACCCTAAACACCGCCCTAGCCGTGTCTGAAGGAAATCCCCGAAATAGCCACTTCAACAAATCACCTGCCGGCCCCAACCCCAAACTTCCAAGTACCTAAATAATCATATACTCTCCAAAATCCTAACCTACATAACTACTATCCTAAAACGGCATACCTAATTATTGGGTCCTTTGGACCCTTAGGGCAACCTTTCAATTTCCATCTAGGAACCTTCTTGTTTTTTGACATGAGAGACATGGCTAAGCCATCCCGCGACCTCAACCTGTACAAACCTTCGATCTAGGAACCTTCGGCCCCTCCAATGCCAAACCTCTGACCTCGAAATGCTTGACTCCCAAACCCCCGAACCGGGCATTCCTGAAACCCTCAACACTGAACCCAAATCATCCTACTTGGAGGGTCGGGGGACTTAGTAAGTAGGTAGTAAGTAGACCTCTAAGTACCCTAAAAGGGACCCTAATTGGGGTTATGGTACTTACAAGTCCCTCAAATAACCAGTCACTAAATCCCCCGACACTCCAAGTACGCTACAAAGCTCCCACGCAACAGTCTGCAAAACCCGGATACTCATCAGGAAAGCCTGGGTTAAACTCACTTGTAGGACCCTTATAAGCTCTACAGGACCCCAATATACTATGCCTTGCAGGAGCTCCTTATAGGAATCCCTGATACTTGAAGGATCGTGGGACTTAGTAACTAGCGTTATTGACGAGGTAACCCTTATACTATACTGTTGGGGGTTTCAGGAACCAAACTTGAAAGCTACTTACAAGCACCCCTGAGTATAGCGCCGGTTTGTCGCCTTGCGCTCTCCTGCCGCTGCAAGCAGGCCCGAGCGGGTCCAATTCCCGGAGGCGACGGGAGACGGCTTTCCAGCTCCTGGTTGGGGTTTATAGGGTTAAGGGGTTAAGGAGTTGAGGGTTATAGGGTTTAAGGCTATAGGGTTTATAGGGTTTATAGGGCTTTAGAGTTTATTGGGCGGGTTGGCTGTAGCTTGCCGTGTGTTTTTGTAGGTTTTGTTTTCAACCTTGGCGTTGCAGGCCCGGCTTGGTTTCTGGGGGCCGTGGTTTGAACGAGTAGTGGTGGGAATATGACATTGTAGGTCTTATAGGGGTTTGAGGGTTTGGGTTTAGGGCATTATGGGGCTTCGGGCGTTTGGGGTGGGGGAGGGTTAGGCTTTGTCAGGATGGCTTTGAGTGTTCAGAGTTATATGGCATGTATGCTTGCAAACACACACACACACAGACACAGACACACACACACACACACACACACACACACACACACACACACACACACACACACACACACACACACACACACACACACACACACACACACACACACACACACACACACACACGCGCGCACGCACACACACACACAGAGACACGCACCCACATCCACACCCAGACCCAGAATGCGAGCAGACTTCTTGAGTTCTCACAAAGGGGAGTTGGACCACGGCTCTTTTGTAGAATTGAGCAAGCCAAGGGCCAAGAAGACCAGAACAGGATATTGAATCTACTTGGGTTTCATAGGTAGTTATAACTGGGGTTACAAGTGGGGCAACTATACTTATAATCTGATTATAGGCGACTGATAACCCCACTTATAGCTACCCATGAACCTCCAAGTAGCGTGTTATCAAAAGCCTCTTGATTGAAGCCGCACAAGGTTTGAATCCCGGAGCCCGTCCTTTCACCAACAGAGGCCGAGGATGCAACAGGTAATGCCTGGAGCAAGGGCCATAGAAACCAGTCTGAGTGGCTTCCCGCAGCTAAATGATTAATTATGAGCATATGGGGCTTGATAGCATAGGGTTTTGGGGTATGTTGTAGTTTTCTGGTGGGTATATTACTATCCTGCCATTATAAACGACACACTCACGCATGCACTGTTCGGAGCCCTACATGTCTGGGTGGGGCACAAGCGGCACTAAGAGCTTGCTTTCTTGCTCTTGCGGTTCTCCCCGAATTTCCTGCCTGAGAAAGGTGTCAATGTCGAACCTGGGCGACATGTCACGAGTGCCAGACCTGTAGGGTAGAATTCCATTTCCGTTAGAAGGCGCAAAAGATAAGAAACCATGACCCCAAAACGAAAAGACAACTAAACAAGTCCCCAAGACCAAGAAGCTTGTTGAAAACGCATCCTAAACCTTATGCATCCTAAACCTTATGACCAATCAACAATCTAAACTGACAGGTGCTTGACATGGAATGTGGGAACCGAGCCACGATCCTCCAGGTCAACTTGAGAGTTCGCCGAACATTAAGAAACTAAAACCTTAAACCCTAAACCCAAAGTACCTAAAACTTCACTTGTGGATGGTAGGCCTGGGGACTTTGGGTTGTTGTGTCGTTCAAGCCGCTAGTCTCTGAAAAACAGATGTAAGGAATCGGCAGGATTCGCCGAAACTCAAGAAGCCTGAAGCCTTTCAGCCACCGTGGGGAGGCAGTCCAGGCTGCGAAGCATTTCGGCGCGCAAGACAGACGAGCTCTAGGCTCTATGGCAGAATCCCCTAAGCACTGTGTGCTAAACAATAAACCCTAACCCACAGCACGGAGATCATAAGCCCTACTCTACAAGAAGCGCGGCAGTCTCACCTGAAATCTGAACCCGCGCGACTCTCTCAGATTCGCCCCAATGAGTGCTTCACATCCCAAAGCTGTGGCTTTCGGGTTTACATGGCAATGAGGATGGATGGCTATGCAGAATAGTTTTGTACATGGGTGATTGTCAAAACTATGGTCCCTTTTTGGGTCCCTATTATAATACGGACCCTTATATTTAGGGTACCCAAAAAGGGACCATAATTTTTTACAACTATGTCTAGATTGCAATCCGGAACCTTGAAAGCACCGGGACACTTCAACGGCAACCTACAGTCTCCATTATGCTTGCTTTTTGTTGATTTAACCAATTACATATTAATGATCCTACAAGGTCACCCCAAAGAGGAACTACAATGGAGACTATAGGCAAAATGCCCGTATCGAACCCCTTGAGCCTTAAGGGGACCCTCAAAACCCGAGACGTCAATCAAGCAGCTGCGATGCTTGGATCGTGTCAATGGCACAGGGCTCCTCTGCAGGCGGAAGCCACTCGTCAGAGACCGAAGACAACTCCTGGGCTGTTGTTTAAAGGGCTTACGGTTAAGGGTTCAGAGCTTATAAGGTTCAGGGCTTGGGGTGTAGAGTTTACCTTAACCCTAAATAACCTAGTTTTTTAAGGACTTATATAAAGAAATCATATAAATTAGGGAACCCTAAAAATGTATGTTCCTTAGGGTCCAGGTAGGGATTAAAGATTGAGGTTTGCAGGTGTTTCGGTTCAGGGTCCGAGGGCTTAGGGTCTAGAGTTTGTCAGCAGGGAGGGTCTGTATAGGCTCGCCGGAGCCATCCGTAATCAGACAAAGCAGAACTGCTACGGAGGGCCCAGGGATACCGCAAGCGTAAACCGCGGTGGGGAGGGCCCCATTTTGCGAGTCCCCGACATCCGAAACCCAAAACCTGAGGAAAGTCCTTGGTTCTTGGAAACCTCAAGACAGAAACTCCAAATCTCAATTTCGGAGCCTGAGCCTTAAGAATCACCGAGGATATATGCTTGAGGGTTCCGCCTGGGGGCTTGGGGTTATTTCCATATGCATCTAAATCCTCTCCTGCCAAAACTATGCTTAAAAAGACATGAGACTTTATGTGCCATGCCCTGACCCTCATCCCCAAGCCCGCTAATTGAGGCAGTGCACACCCGGCCGCCAACCGCCAGAGTTGCAGGAAGCATCGCTGGCGGGACACTCCTCTGGAGGGGAGAGAGAGTGAGGGTAATAGGGTTCAGGGTCCAGCACGAAATCCCTAATTAACATGCAAAAAAAGCTTAATGCCCTTCTTTGTCACAGTTTGACCGTGACGCTTTAGTTTACGGTATATACTCCTTTGATTCTACTATGGCATATGAGTTGAAGGCCTTTCCCTGATTCCGGAATGTTGCGTTGATTGAATCCAGAAAAACTTCGAAAGTCACGGAACCTGGAGCAATGGCTTCGGTAACTTGTAGTTGAAAGTTTAAAGGCTTCGGGTTTTACTTTCGGCTTAAGGTTGAATGGAATCTGGGTTAAAGCCTTGGGTTAAAGTCTGGGTTCGACTCAGGTGGCAGCAGACCTGCACTCCATCTGCTAATTTTACGTGAGACTTGCTCAGCCACGAAGTCGCGCACAAGTGCCCTGTCGCATCGATCCTAAACAAATGCCTATACCGGCCTGAAAACCCGTGCCACCACTACTGCTTACAATAAACCATTTGTAAATTTATAACATAATCATGTTCAGAACTACAAAGGATACTACTGCAAATTATTCCGACCCCTATATGTTAGTGTTCATCATGGAGACCTTGGTTCTTGCAATGTTTTGTCGGGGTTTCCCGGGCTCCTTGTGGCATACGCCCGCTACTCCGCTGTTGAAGATTTGAGAAACATCATCCTCAACTTGTCAGCATTACCGGTTATTTTCTCTCAAGACTGCCATCAGAATTATGGCAAGGAGACCAAGTAGTTCTCAATGCCCACCTGCTTGCCGATACTTATACAAACAGTACTTGTAAATCGATGTAATTAATAACTGAGTTCTTAAGCCCTGTGCCCCATCCTCGGCTGCCTCTGCTGCGGGGCCCTGAGTTCCGAAAGGCTGGCAGCAGTTGCAACTGCACAGTTGCTTTGTAAAGTGTTTGTCGCCCGTGTGCGCGCTGCGTTTGCGGCTTGGGAAGAATACAAAATTCAGAACTTGAACTCCCGATCTTCTTAGCAATCACTGGATATTGGGTACGACGACGCGTGGTGTGTTGAAAAACAGCCTCGTTCTTTGTGTGTACCTGCTCTAAATCATCCGGGTCCCTGTGAGCCCGGAAGAGGTCTCTAGACATCTTAGCTGGAGAACTGTTTCAAGAGCTCTTAGGAAGACTCCCGCAAGTTCTTAAAACATCCTTTACGGACTTGTGCCCTTAGAAGCTTCTTTAAGAGTTGCTTTGATGGTTCTGGGGGTGGTGACGGGGTCTTGAAAGCCCGTTGGGAAGTTGCTTGAAGAGACCGTTCGGGACCTTTAAGGAACCACGGGGCGCGCCTGCAGCTGAACACAACACCGCGACTTGCTGCTCGTAACATGACATCTATATGGGTAGTTGTCGAAATTAGGGTCCCTTCTCGGGTCCCTAACATAATACTGCACCTAATATTTAGGGTGCCCAAAAGGGACCCTAATTTTGACAACCGCTCATATCCTGACTCCTAAACAAAAGTCCTGGATCCCTCCCCAGGCATTGTGGTCATCAAAGTAACCACAGCAGTCGTAGTAGAAGTAGTCATGGTAGAAATAGTTGCCGTCGTAGAAGTAATTAGCAGTAAGCAGCAGCCGCGGCAGCAATAGTAGTAGTCGAGTTGCAGCAGGAGCAGCAGCAGTAGCAGTAGCAGTAGCAGTAGCAGTAGTAGTAGTAGTAGTAGTAGTAGTAGTAGTAGTAGCAGCAGCAGCAGCAGGAGCAGGAGCAGGAGCAGGAGCAGGAGCAGGAGCAGAAGCAGTAGCAGCAGAAGTAAAAACAATCATACTTGCATAAACCTAATTCTGAATCACACTCGTAACGTATTCGCTATCACAGAGTCACACTAACAGCAACAAGTCGAGGCACTTTGGCCTCGCGGAAAAGCTTGACGGGCTCTGCCGGCGCGACGTTGTCACTCTTGGCCTCCTCTTCACCATGCCACTTGCCTTCAGAAGTCGGGAATTCGGCAAAAACAGTTGCCTGAGGAACCCTAAACTTTGCCCTAAACCAGGAGCAAGCCCTCTTTTACACACAGTCTGCGTGCGCCTGTAAGCCTGAAGACATCGATTTCGGTTGTGGGTTATGTACTACGGCGCAGTCAACGCAGCGTCCGCCAAATAAGCAATAATTACCATAAACCCCTGGAATCCCTGGAAGACCTCTGCTCAGTACGACTTGGAGTTATGGTTAGTTATTGTAAGTGACGCTATAAACAGGGCAGCTATAGTTGCAACCCATCTTAGTTGATTTATAACTCCACTTATAGAACTACCCATGAACCTCCAGGTAGTCTCGCAACTTTCTGAAGCCCTCATGCCCGGAGCTCCCAAAGTCATATCCCCGAGTCTGACCAGCGCAGACCCAATTCGCGCCACCCTGAAATTCTGAAACCGAAACCAGCACCAAAGAAACTGAGGCTTGCGTGCTTGCCTGTTTAGGGCTGCCACAGCTGAAGTTTAATTACGTATTTCTGGCGTTCAGGGGCTTCGGGTCTGTGAGTTACGCCGGAACGGCTGAGCGTCGAGCTTTACTTACCTTTGGTTAGTAGAGAATGGAGGAAAGGGGTACAATTATAACTACTATTACTACGATTCTTCCAGACCAAAGGTAAGTTTAGGCGAGAGGGCTTGGGAACCAAAACATGGAGCTACAAAGGGTAACTTCATGTTTTTGCGAGGACGGAAGCTGGTTTGCCCCGAACCCTTTCCCGAGGGCTCCCGCTAACTAAATAGTGGGTTATTGGGATATAGGGTATATAATATATAATATATACATATATATATATATATATATATATCTAATATATATATATATATATATATATATATATATATGATGCAGGGCTGCCACCCCCCTCCCCCTCCCCCCCCCCCATGGTATCCCCCCCTTCCCTCCCCTGTGGTGTGAGGTCCCCCCGCCCCGCTGTGGTGTGGGCCCTGTGCTGTGGTGCTTTTCCCCCCCCGCCGCCCCTGCGGTATCCCCCCCCTCCCCTCCCCTGTGGTGTGGGGTCCCCCCGCCCCCCCCCTGTGGTGTGGGCCCTGTGGTGCGGTATCCGGTGGTGCTCTGCATGATCATCATCATGAACATGAACATGATGGTCCCCCTGCCCCCCGTGGTGTGGTGTGGTGTGGTTCGGGATGGTTTGGGTCTGCGTGGGGTGCCTCCCCCCCCCTGTGGTGTGGTGTGGTGTGGTGTGGTTCGGGGTTTCGGTCTGCTTGGGGTGCTTTGTATAATCATCAGCATCACCATCATCATCATCATGATCATCATCATGAAAATGATGGTCCCCCTGCTCCCCCCCTGTGATGTGGCGTGGTTCGGGGTTTTGGTCTGCGTGGGGTGCCTCCCCCTGGGTCTGCGTGGGGTGCCTCCCTCCCGGTGTGGCGTGCTTCGGGGTTTGGGCCTGCTTGGGCTGTTTGGTATAATAATCATCATCGCCATCATCACCATCATCACCATCACCATCATCACCATCATCAAGATCATGAACATGATCATCATGATCATCATCATGTCGTTCCTTTCTGTTTATTTATCTTGTGTCACACTGGCAATCTTCCTGACAATTGGGCACAGAGATCGGGCCTGTCAGGGACGGGGTCCTGTTCACAGTTGCCTGGGTTCGGACGGAAGGTGTCCACTGTCACAAGGATCGGGCGTGTTTGGAACGCGATCCTCGTGACGGTTACCGGTTGTGGTGCCTTCATGTGGGAGACGTGCACGGTGAGGGGCGCCATCCTCGTGACAGTTGACGGTTTTGGAGCCTTTACGTGGGATCACAGAAAAGGGCTCCGGGGGGGGGGGGATACCATGGGGGGGGGGGGGGGGGGGGGTGGGGGCCCGGGACCCGAGAGCATATATATATATATATATATATATATATACATATGGTTAGTAACCAACTATTTACGTAACTGGAGCCCTAGGGTTTGTTCAAGTTGATGAAATCCTGTGCTTCTGGGCGTGAGGCCACTGAAGGAGTCTTCCCTGAGTGCTTACATCCATGGCAAGCTGAGCCACGCAACACGGTCACGGTGTCGTTGAAATCGCCAAGAGCTGCCCAGTCTTCGGGGAGATAGCCTTTGAGACTCTAAGAACAAGGAGGCTGTGGCAGGTTTGGTACTGGTAAACACAGTTCTTCTGGACACCCTGCAGACGAAATTGTCGCGTGTGAAGCCCTAGAAACCGTCAAGGAGCGTGGAACCAAGGACCCAGACTTGAGGGGCTGGGGCTGTTGCATCGAGTCTGAAAGATGAACCAATGCAGCTTGTGCCAGATCTTACTTTGACACTAGAATGCAAAGAATCCTACCTGCAGATACGGAAGACCGCTCCTGCACCTAAAACCACCTAAAATCCTAAACTTCCCTGATGCAAAGCCCGAAACCCTTCATATCCCCTAAAACCCTAAACCCTGCAAGACCAGGACCCTGCGACACACTCTGACCTGTCTGCCACGCCTTTCGAAGGCCAACAGATCGCACAAAGCGGCCCACAGACTAGGGTTTAGGCAATGATTTGGGGCCTGGGGTTGGCGTGGGTAGGGTCACTGCTGCAAGTTGCACTAAGCTGTGGCTCCCAAATTTGTTGCACCCTCGACTCTGAGCAACTGGCAGTGTCGAGGATGTGTTCGGTTCGATGGATTGGTATGGTTATGGGGCTTAGCACTTGCGGCTTAAGGTTCTATGATTGGGGTTCATAACAGTCTAAAGCCGCAGAACATCGAACACCATGCTCACAACCATCGGCCCAGGAATCCCTGGAATCATCGCGACACTGCCTCTAAATTCAAAAACCATGAAGCTTTAATGCCATCAAACCCTCCAAACCCTGGACCTTTCATCTAAGACACTAGAAAACCGTACATCCGAAACTTAAACATCCGAAACTTTAACACTACTTGGTAGACAACCCTGATTCCGAAACTATAACCCCTGAATTGAACCCTGGCAACCGTAACCATCGCGCGTGGTCGCCAGCTGCAGGCGCTTCTTCTTGGGCGCAGCACGGAGGATCGCCTGAGGATGGGTTTGGCTTTAGGGTTTCGGGTTTAGGGGGCGGCAAACCCAAACTTGTGTTTAGGGGCGCCGCCGCGAATTTTGGAGCTTTCTATGTGAAGCAGACCCATTTGGGCAGACTACGCTTCGTAGCGCAAGTGCGGATCTTATGTAAAAGGGTAGGGCTGTAGAAATTTAGGGCCTCAAGGTGTCAGGGCTGGTTTCAAGTAGGTCACCCGAGTATACGAGCTACGTCTGGCTCAAGGTTAAGTTGGGTGAGGGAACCGTAAGGCTACCAGTCACGTTCAAGCGAAAAAAAGGGAACCCGATCTCCAAACTTCAGTAGCGCGAGCCCTTCTTCTCGTCAAGCCGAGCCAGGGATTCGACAAGTCCCTTGAAAATCCTCCAACCGTCGCCCAAAATGTACCAGCATCCAAAAGACTAGCAAAGCCTTCAACAAGTGAACCGTACCTACCGTCCCCAATCCGTCAGCACGCAGCCTATCGCCCAACCGAAGGCCCTAAATCCTCTGAGAAGCTGTGCAACAAGCACCTCTACGACTACAAAACCAACAACCCTACCCCTCCGTCCTCCACCGCAGCACTGTTCCTTGGCAGAGGCATCGACTTGGTCAGGCTAGGGGAATGTATTCGGGGATGAAGAAGGCCGTGCAAAGACCCGATTGCTACATGGAAGACCAGACTACTAAATGTCCGAAGTGAAACCACGAGCATAGCTAGCTCAGACACCTCTACAATGATGGTATGTTGCAAAACAGTAAACCCTGTGCGCAGAATTCTTGGTCGAGCAGAGGGGAACAAGACTAACAAAGCTCAGGCACCCCTGACTGGCGGCATGATGCACGATGGTCAGGCCATTCAAGTCCTGTCCTGAAGCAAGGCTCAAGCCAACCCTTCCCCCAAGGTTCCATGTACCCATGTACCATATACGTAGGCCTTAAACTACATATATGGGGACCCTTTTAAGGCTTAAGTATCCACTATAAAGGTGCATGGAGCCTTCGGGTTCCCTAAACCCTAAACGCGACCCACCGCAGTTCGGGGTTTCGCACAGGCCGACAACGAAAGGTGCAGAGCGGCGACTTTGGCTGCGGCCCGTGCTGCCGTATTTTCCGTTTGGAAATGCTGTAGTCAAACTTCTATGTATTCGTTTCGGCCTCCCCGAAATGATAGCCGTTGTAGATACTGTAGGGTTGAGGGTTTATAGAGTAACTAAGCATCTAGACCGAGTGAGCATGCCATGGATGAAGCCTGGTAGCGCATGCTGCGTTCACATGACGGTCGTAGCACAGGGGCTTTGATAATTCGAGTATACAGGGTATTGGGGTAGATTGCAGTGTAATCATCCCTATAAGGAACAATGTCACCAAGTATTCAGGCCCATGGTGGCCAAGCAGTTAGGAAGCCTGGCATAACAGACGGGGAAACTGTATGCACAGTTCGTCGATATCGCGATATGGAGCTTGGACCACATGCCATTGAGAGTCAAGGGCTTTCGGATGGACGGTTATGCGGGAATCACCCAAACCGAAGAATCTAGTTGCCAGCATTTTCGAAAAAACTTCACGGACACAACCTACAGAGTTCCTGCGGCTTCCGCTAAACTTCTGCCTAACACTGAAACCCCAATGCTCTCAACCCCAAGACTTCCGAGACTGGATAGCGAGTGGGGCCTGCTCGAACAACTTGCGCTGCAGGCTTTGTCTACACTCCAAAAGGAGTGCTAAGCACAGACAGGCCATCGACCCACAAACTCCTAGTATTGAAATGGTCCGAAATGGTCGGAGTGATGATGAGGCCCTGATGAGGCCGTGGCTTTCGAACTTGGCCCACGCCTCTTTGCTGCCCTTGCAGGCTTTCCTGAATCACACAATTTGAGATCGAAGTACTGCCCTCCTATCAAAGCAACGAGTTTTGGACGGTTTTGGCTTTCCGAAGTACGGAAACAGTTGGGCGAGGGGGGGCACATACTCAAATATGTACTTGACTCGGAGCAGAAATGCAGAACAGCCACCATGCATCTCTCTAATGCTGCCAACTCCTCGACACTGCATTCCAATTTGGCGTGACAAGTCGAACGAACCAGGATTGTTCGGGTTGAAAGTTTATTGCGGCGTGCACCTTGAATGTGAGAACATGGCGCATATCCTCTAGCTCAAGCTAGCTCTGACCAGTACGTAATTTCGATCAGTACTGCTACGTCAATGCAGGCGTGAAAACTAAAAGACCATATTTCACAAGAGTATGCGAAAGGGGTGCACGTTTCTCAAGGGCACTTGCTGTAATATAGGGGCCTCAATAATTAGAATAGGACTTTGCGGCCCATTATACTATAATTATCATAAGGAACCCCAAAATGGTATAGGTAGCTATTTCGGCCCCTAAAGTATCCTCCCATCTACAGGAAACTGCGTCCAGTCCCAAGCTTCGCGCTGCAAAGGCCTTAAAACCGAAAACCCTTGAAACTTGGCACACCCTAATCAAACCCCACTGTCGCCAAACTTGCAGACTAATCATCAGCAAAGGGCTCAAGATGTGGAAGGGTTTAGGTTTCCGAAGTCTTGGTTTAGAGTTGAGGTTCTGTGTTTAGGAGTTTAATTACGGGGTGTTCGGTATAGGTTACGTCTGAACACACATCAAATGGTTGTGGAAGTACGGCGAAATGTCTGACCACAGAGACTGGGGTAGGGGCAGGCACAAAATGAATCGGACTGGATTGCTATACAAAAAATATAGTGTTAGAATTGTTAGTATTATGAACGTTACTTTTCTTAAGCCGCCAGCCCGGGACTCTCCAACACATACAAACAACTGAGCTGTCTGAAGCTTGTTTCTGAAACGACCTCCTGCAACACAAGGGCGGCACTCCTTTAACGTCGAGATTTTCCAAACTTAAAGCCTTTCCCTACCTTGAGAAATCCTACACGTCTTTGAAGCCTCAGATTAGCCCCGCGTCCCCAGCAAGAACTTCAACACTTTGGCGTGCTCGTGCATCATCAGGCGCATCAGGGGCCTTTCAAACCACCATGTCATTGCAAGGAGAAGGGTTACACCAAAACCTAAATCCTCTAAGCCCTAAACCATCCCCTCAACTTGGAGGTTCATGGGTAGTTGTAAGTTGGGTTATAAGCCCCCTAATGCGGGTTATAAGTTATAATCATAGTTAACCTACTTATAACCCCACTTAGAACATCTTGTAACTACCTATGAACCTCCAAGAACCTTCTAACACAACAAACTTTGGAGGAGGCATGCTTGCGAAGGATAAATCAACAAGGTTGAAGGTGCGACTCCGAATGACAGTTCAGCACGCTACGACTAAAAGTGTGTTCTTGTTAAGGGATGTAGTTTAAGTGACCATCATAGGGGCCTACGGTAGAGACTGTGGTTTCCTTATGGTACCTTAAAACTCAAATAAACCTCTTAACAAGAACCCAGAAAATCTCAACTTTTGGCGGTGAAACGTTGGCTCTCAGGGCTTCATATGTTCGGACCCCTGGGGCAGCCGTCTCGCTTGGGCCGGGCCGTCTCTGTGGCATAACGGGCCATACTCTAGCCTTAGCAAAAAGAATTGTGTTTAGGGGGGGGAGGTCCTTTTATAATTACAGTATAATATACCCCCCCTAAGCCCTGTTCTAATTATTAAGGCCCCGATATTACTCTCTGTGTCTGTGTGTGTGTGTGGAGTAAGGCTGAGGTGGGGACTAGAAATATCATGCGGAGTATAAGCATTTACGATTCTTCCAGGCGTCTTAGCACTACGATGTGTCGAACATGTCTCGCAGCCTCTTGAAACCGCCGTTCTTCATGCCTTAAATGCAGCCGGCCACAAGCCTGGTCAGAATATCCGACCAGAGCCTTATACAACTGCTAAAGCCCGTAGCGGCAAGGCTGGCAAATAGAGCGGAAATGCCACAGGAATATTTCTCGAACCCAAACACAAGAAGCCAACTCTAGTCGAACAAAACGACAAGCTTCCTTACACTATCAGAACTCGCCTACTTGCTCTTGCAGGTTCAAAGTCTTCAAAACATAATATGCATCCTGAATACATGTGACATGCCTTGCGTGCACTGACTTGCTCTTGATGTCCGCGACATCGTTCGCCCGAAGCTCGCGGATTAGCTCCTGCACTTGGATGAGCCCACATGGTGACGGTCTAGGGTTCAGGGCTGAAGGTCACTTTGTGTTTCTTAGGCTTCTTCGCCTTCTAATGAGCTCTGTCGAACTCGTAGGGTTTCTGGAGATTCGTCGCTTCGGGCTTGGCTGCTGAAAGATTCGGAGCCTCCGTTTGGGTGACTTGAAAGCACAGTCAGTCATGCTTGGTCCTTCGTTCCGACTCCTAATTCTCAGTGCGATTCTCTCTTCAGGCTTCGGGGTTCAGGGCAGCGGGGTCTTCGTAAGGTACGCCCAAATATCCCCGGCTTCCTTCGTTCTGCCGTCGCCGTTCTTGCCGAGCTCTTCCAAGTAACGGTTGAAAGCCGCAGCCACATAGGGTTGATCCTGCATACACCAGCCAAGCAAAGCTAGTTGATGCGAAACAGAGTCCTGAGGCGGCATGCCTTTGCCCCTCCTCGGTGAGAAATGAAAAAGCAGGCTCGCACTGCTAAGTCATCCTTGTTGGAATCAGTCAGAATAATTGCTCGTCGGACCGTCTTCACTGAATAATTACTTGTCAGCGGGTTGTTTGAACCATGGCATGCCATTGGGGGCACTTACCCAACATTCAACCCTAACCGCTAGATCCCAAACCCTAACCCCTATAACCCCTAAACCCCTAAACCTCAAACCTCTAAACCGTAAACCCTATAACCCCTAAACCCTTAAACCCGAACCCCTAAACCCTGACCCCTGAACCCCTAACCCCTGAACCCTAATCCCTTAACCGCAAGCCTGTCCTTCTCTACCTGCGCCATGGTTGACCGAGGGGTGATGAAGCTTTTGCGAACCAAGGGCGGCGCATACCTCAGTGCTCCACAGCTGCCCTACAGAGGTTCTGGGTTTAGGGCTTAGGGTTTAGAGGTCCCAGTGAAGCTAAGATGCAGATGGGTTAGGTCTTGGGCTCATGATGTTGGACTGAGGGTTGGCTTTGTTCCACATTCCAAATTCTCGGAAGGTCCGTTTCGGCTGGCTGAAGTTTCTCTGTACCGGTCATAGCTTTGATTTCTGACTTGAAGCAAGATTGACTTGCCATCCAGGCTTCGCGACACATCAGAGCTGTCAGCTCTTGATTCTGTCAGCTCATTCTTCACATTTCTTATCTGCTGCGGCCTCAGCCTACAGTGTTGCTTGCGAGAAGGCTTGCCATCAATGTCCCCAGTGACCGCAAAGTGCTACTTTGGCACCAAGCAGTAGCTTAGACCCTTAGCCGCAGCAGTAGAGGGACAGAGACTTTACGAACGTCTATGCTTTCATAAACATGATGCTGGTGAAATGGAAACGTATGGAAACTGTGATGGTGCTGGTGACACAGCTAACAGAAGAACATGGTCATCGAGGTGAACACGATGACAACGATGTTGGTGTTACTCGCAGTCGTTCCTTAACACCGATGTACCACTATCGTTGTTGCTGTTCACGCCCATAGTACCACTACAGTAGGAGCCAACGTTACCAACTTCCACTGCTTCGCCCCTTGCTTCTCAGAGCACCAACCCCATAGCCATACCAGCTCCTCGCATTCCGCCAGCTACCAGTACTCCACCTGCAACAGCACCTGCAACCGCTAGTGCTACACAACATCCTAATGACGACCAAGACTCCAAATCGGCGAGCCCCCGAGGATCTTGTCGCAGTAGTTTCCTGAGTTTAAAGAGCCGGCCCTGTCTGCGATGCATCGCATGCCCGGGCCCGGCTGAAAGACACACTCTCACTCCTACACAGGGGCATGCTCATCCCTGTATATTAGCTCTATACCATCCTGAACCATATCTGTCCTTAGGCACCATTTTTGGCAACCGAACGGCCATAGCTTACTGCAACCCCCAGAATTTGAACTCTAAGAATCCGGTGCCATGCAAGCCAACCCGAAACCGTTTCAGATTGGACCCAGACCACAGCAGGCCCTGAACTAAATTCCAAACCCTACTATGGGGGCCTTAATATTAGACGAATTAGAATAGAGTTTGGGGCCCACTATACTGTACTCCTAATACGGAGCTCCCGAAACAGAGTATACACTCTGGCCGGGCAGCTGGTCCACTGGTGCCGCGATGCAAGGACCTCCGGTATGGGAGTTTCCGAAAATTAGGGGGGTACCTGTAAAGGGATCTATGAGGGTTCTCTAGTTCTATACAGGGTTTAGGGAGTTTCCGAAAATTGGGGGTGCCTTATTCATGGGTCCTCTATAAGAAGGATCCTCGTAATTAGGGTGCTATATTTGGGTCCCTCGGAAACCCCGTATCCCGCCAGGGATTCTCGCAGACATGAGGATGGGCAAGGACTGTGGGCGAAGAATCTACACCTAGAATGCGAGAGTAGCATTTCTGACGGCATCTGGTTCACAAGGATCCAAGGCTTGAGGTTTAAGATGGTTTAAGGTTTACAGGGTCACAACTGCAGGTTCCAGATGAAATCAGCAACTAAATCAGGGACTAAGCGTGAGAGGCAGATATAGGAAAGCACAGAAAACTTGGTTTTTGCGCAGCCTTTTCGCCCACAAGACCAACGAGGGAATACTACTACAAACCGCGCACCTTGAAACATCGAACTTAGGCTTGCAATATCTTCACCTTCAGAGCCTGCAAATTCAGGAGCCCACTTAACAATGCAATTAGCTGGTTACTGTCGGGCCATCTCTGAACGGCCTGCATTATCGATATGATACAGTAACAGAATATACAAACACCATCTGGGCTTCGAGGGAATGCTCCTTCTCTGAACCAGGCCTCTTTCACACCTGTCCAAGCGGACGGCCACGCCAGCAGCTGCTCCACGACCACGTGCAGGTCCAACAAGAACCTGATTCAAGCTGCCGTTCAGGGGTTTCCAAGGGTTTACGCCCCCGATTGTTTTAGGGTTTTATGTTCAGCTTGGCTTTCAGGCTTGCAGTGCAGGTATTTAGCCTGGGTGTTTGGGGCACTGGCTCCCAAAATCCCAAAGCTCAGCCAGAAAGCCTAAAACCTTGCTCTCGGGTAAATTTTGGAAGCCGCAAATGCACCGAGCTGCGTTTCGCTGGTGAAGTCTGCGCCATATTCTGAAGCCTTTGACAGGCCTGCAGCAGGCAGCTTCGGTTCCGAAAGCCTGGCTTTACCATATATAATATATAATTGGAATAGGGTTTTGGGGCCCATCATACTATAAGTATAAGAAGGACCCCCTCCCCCCAAAAATAGTATAAGTAATTATCAAGGCCCCTATATTGACGTGTCTTTTACAGTGTACCAATATGAACCTTGGGTGAGGAGTCTAGAGCAACCCGATACAGAAAATGCCACTGTCGGTCGAGCATTCTCGGTCAAGTTGTTGGACTGCGGGAGTGTCAGGGATTGAGTTTGCAGGTTGGCACAGGTTCTTGTTTTAATTGAACTTTGGGCAGTCAGCCTGACCGCTTCGTTTCAGGAAACCTCGTCATTCATTGCATTCGAAACAGCCTCAGTTGTGCCGCCACACCCCGTTTCGGAATCGGGATTTAGGATTGCAGGTTGGAGGGCGTTGGGCGGCTTTAGGATCGTAACTGGAGTGGGTTTCGCTAGGCTCAGTTCTGATTTGGGGTTGTCCTTCCCTGCTTGTCCGAGCAAGTCAGAAAGAACTCAACAGCAGCAGACCACGCACAATCTGGGGGCGGCCCGGGCCGTAGGCTTTTTGACTTTGGGATCTGGAATACTCTGTAAACTTGTCCCTCTACCTACCACCCTCAACCCTAAACCCTTACCTTCGGGATCCGGAGTACTCTATAACTTCTCCGTAACATAGACCCACCCACCCTAAACCCTAAACCCTCAGTTTTGGCATCTGGTACTAGTTATAAGTGGGGTGAGGAGTAGGGTAACTATCGTCATATCCCAAGCCCCACTTATAACTGCCCATGAAGCTCCAAGTGCCCCTAAACCCTAAACCCTCAGTTTTGGCATCTGGTACCCACCCCAACTCAACTATAAAACACTAAACCCTCGGCCATAAATCCCTGATCCCTCAGTTTTGGCATCTGGTACCCACCTTCCAGGAGCTCCTTCATGTCCGGATAGCAGAAGACAGAGGGCTGCCCACGGTTCATCTTGCAGGCCTGGCATGTAATCATGAGGACCCTTACCGGGAGGGGGTTTAGGGTTTAGGGCCTGCCTTAATACCTATAACAAGGACTTAATACGGTCCCTATGATGATGTTACCATACTCTTCTCGAACATTAGAGCGAGGTTCCTTAACAGGGTCCGTTAAAGGGTTCAGCTCTACAAGGGGAGTTATTTGTTCGAACAGCGGCTGGGGGATGTATTTCTGACGTAGAACTATATTGTATCCCCAAGCCCTCTGGGCTTTCGGCATATCACCGAAATTCTTGCCTTCACACGGTTGATTGAGTCATTAGGCTAGGTGGCACCCTAAACTGTAGGGTTCAGTGTCACCCTGCACTCCATGTCTATTACTACAACTGCTGCTTCAACAGTTTGACCTTTTCCACTCCAAATGCTCAAGCTCCAAGTGATGCCGCAAATTTTTGGGTGTAGGAGTTGTGACAGGCAAGTTGGGCGCAGGATCTGAACGAATGACTTTGCACTCCCAACTCCGAGCCCCCCAACCCTAAACCGATACCTCAACGATCCTATGAAGAGTTCGTTCAGCCAACGGGTCTAGACAGACAGACAGACAGACAGAAGGATGGACAGACAGACAGACAGACAAATTATAGAGGACAGATAGACGGACGGAGAGACAGATAGACAGGATGACCAATCGCTCCTAAACCCTAAACCCTATCCCTAAACCAAGTATGACCAATCGCTCCTAAACCCTAAACCCTACCCCTAAACCAAGTATGACCAATCGCTCCTAAACCCTAAACCCTATCCCTAAACCAAGTTTGACCAGTCGCTCCTAAACCCTAAACCCTAAACCCTATCCCTAAACCAAGTTTGGCCAATGGCTCCTAAACCCTAAACAAAGTTTGACCAATGGCTCCTAAACCCTAAACCCTAAACCCTATCCCTAACCCAAGTTTGACCAATGGCTCCTAAACCCTAAACCCTATCCCTAAACCAAGTTTGACCAATGGCTCCTAAACCCTAAACCCTATCCCTAAACTAAGCTTGACCAATGGCTCCTAAACCCTAGACCCTCAACCCTATACCCTATCCCTAAACCAAGTTTGACCAATGGCTCCTAAACCCTAGACCCTCAACCCTATACCCTATCCCTAAACCAAGTTTGACCAATGGCTCCTAAACCCTAAACCCTAAACCCTATCCCTAAACCAAGTTTGACCAATCGCTCCTAAACCCTAAACCCTATCCCTAAACCAAGTTTGACCAATGGCTCCTAAACCCTAAACCCTAAACCCTATCCCAAAACCAAGATTGACCAATGGCTCCTAAACCCTAAACCCTATCCCTAAACCAAGTTTGACCAATCGCTCCTAAACCCTAAACCCTATCCCTAAACCAGGCTTCCATGGAGCCGGGTTTAGGGTTTTGGGGGCTTAGGGTTTAGGAATGGAGCCCCGGGCCTCGTTGAAGACTTTCTCGGTTGCTTTTCGCCAAGGTGGTCCTCCGCGCGTGAAGCCGCCGGGCATGCCAGGCAAACCTTTGGCGAGTTCTCGCGCCCTTTCTGCTTTAAGGAATTTACCGACGGAGGCTACGGAGATCTGACACTCAACCGGCTCCTCAAGGGTTTAGGGCTTAGGGAGTTTAGGGGCTTATAGTTTAGGATTTGTAGGGGGTTAGGGTTTAGGAGAGCCTGGGGGAGCATGGGGTTAAGGGTTCAGGGGCTCAGGGTGTTGTGGCATCGAGCTGTTTGCACTAGTGTAGGGACTAGAGGCCTTGCTGTAACGATTGGAAAAAAATTTGGGGCCCATTATTAATTAATGTATACTTATAGTAAGGAACGCCCACACAAGTATTGGTAACTATTTAATTTAGGCCCCTATAGTAGTCTGGTATTGGCTGGTTGGACTGTCGCCATCCGAGAAAGCTTATGGCATGCACGTGGAATGCTTGGCTAGACTGGAAGTCAGTCGTGATCTTCAGAACGAATCTTGGTGTCCAGGGCTCAGCCAAGGCAAGGTCTCAATAACATAAACACTCTTCCACTTTATCTAACCAGAACTGCAGTGAAACATGTCTGCAAACCAACTCATCTGCTTGAAGGGCTTAGGATTTAAGGTGCAGGCTCGGTTGATACTTTATTCAACTTTATTCGAGGCAGGGCACCGTTCAAGTTTGGCATTTCGGGCCCTTTGGCGCCCACCAGGAGAGGCAGAAATGCCAAGACCGGCGACTTCATGGCGTAGGCGTGGGCGTTTGGATTTCGAGCTTTAGGGTTCAGAGCCTTAGGCATCAAGCTTCAGGGTATATGACATTCTGCCTGTGCCACAAGGGCTTGGATTCGGGCTGTGATTGTGTGGTCAAGTCTCGGATAAGGCTCTTTCGTTGTTCCTCTGGGAAGGTTTTTGATAACACTTCTCTTCTAGCTCAAGCCCTGGTATACGCTGGTCGCAGACTCTGGGGCTCAACTTCTTTCGTTCTTCGAAGTTGTCGGGGAAAATGGCGAGGGCCTCAGCGGTTTCGAGGCTTTCAAGACCGAGCTTCGGATGCACTGGCGGTTGAGGGTTCCAGTTTACTGCAGGCAGGCTCAGCTGAATAGCAACATCTGGCAACCATCCGACAAACTAGGACACTGACAAAGGTTCCGGGCCCGGGTTTAGGGTTTCGGGGTTAGGGCTATAGTTTAGAAGGGGACCCCGCCCTGTAATAGTGACCATAAGGATTATATAGGATTATATTAGGGCCCTATTATATTCCTATTATACCACTATTACAGGGTGGGGGCAGCTTCTAAGCTATAGTATGTCAATGGTGGAGTTTAAGGTCCTCTATCGAGCTGCAGGCGCAAGCCGTGGCTCAGGGAAGTCTTCGCGACAGCAAAAGCTGCGGAGTGCGAACGGCGAGCAAGCCAAGCTTATACTGCATGCATTGGCTCAAGCCGGAAGTATGTATATGTATATGTATATGTATATGTATATGTATATGTATATGTATCTTCATATGTCTATGCATATGTATCTGCATGTATGTGTGGCCATGGTTCCGAATGCATCAACATGAAAAACATATGCTAGCATATTGCTGGCCTTTCTATGAAATACTTAATATATTTTACAGCATAGTACCCGCTCTTCTATCTTTTGGGCCTAGCGCCTCAAGGCAAAGAGTCGACATTCTTCTGACAGTTGCACAGTCAGCCACGCAGGCATACTTCTGTCCAACTGTTCGCAAGACGCCCTCCGGCCTGAAACGGATCCTTTGTGTATTTTGCAGTATGTAGCTGAATGCAAAAGAACGAAAAACTCTAGCCTCCCCCTCTGAACCCTGTAAACTCCAAGGTGCGAGAATGGCGAAGCATCGCCTGATCACTTCTCAAGCTCCCCCGTGTCTAGAGCTCGGATTCTGGTCTCTTACATCGGAAAGACGCCCTGTAGCCACATCGGACCCAAAACATGGCGAAAGCAACCCCATCCATGGGATTGAAGTCAACCCAAAGGATTCTGCAGAACCCAGTGCTACTCGATGACCACACCCGAAGGGTCCATGTAAGCAAATAGTATATACGTTGGCCTTAAAGGTACAGTGGCCTCAAAGTATATGCTATTTGGGTACATGGACCCTTAGGGACAGTTCGGAGCCTTCTCTTCCTCGAGCTCCCTTGGCCCAGCTTGAGATGCATCTCTGAAGTGCTTGGGCTGGGTGTGCGGTCTCGGGTCCCTTACTTGGAGGGTCGGGGGACTTAGTAAGTAGGTAGCAGGTAGACTTATAGGTACCCTAAAAGGGACCCTAATTGGGGTTATATATGGTACTTATAAGTCCCCAAAAATAACCAGTGACTAAGTCCCCCGACCACACATACTACATTCTACGTGGCGTCTGGGCCGGTATGTGCTTGAGGAATGAGGGTTCATCGCAGAATCGTTGAGCTCCGGGACTGGATTTCGGGTTGCAGTCATCTTGCCGTCCCTCCGGGTCCACGCGCTTCTAATGTTACAGTGCTTCATTTGGCCTTGAAGGTGCTGTTCGTACGTTGGTATTTTGGGGTCTTTCTATGCACTATGGCCCGTCTCTCGGTCAGATTTTGCCTGAGGGAAACTATAGGAGAAACACCAGGGGAGTCAGCCAAGGGGGATGCCTAAAACAGCAACCTATATATTCAAAAAAGGAACTAGCGATTGAATACCTGAAGTGTAGATACTGCGAGCCTGAACACCATACCGCACAAGGCCAGCAAAAGCACAAATCCAGTCCAAACCCCGCAGCACAAGAGCACCAAGAAATGAACCCGAAGCCCTGAACCCTAAAACCCTGAAGTACTGCATCCAGAGCCCCACCACCTAAAAGACTCAACAGTCCAACACCCCAGAGCTTTTGAGAGTTCTACACATTCTACACGTTCGCCTCAGCCAAACCTGGAAACCTTCTGATCGCGGGATCGAAACCAGACGCCAAACGAGACCTGGTCAACGGCACGAATAAGACTAGGAAACCAAGCTACATTTATTGCTTTGGCTGTGGATACGGAACCTACCCTTAACTACCCTAAACCCGGAACTGTGAAACTGAAGCCCCGGAGCCCGATCCCTGACCGAAGTCGGTTTAGGGGTCTATGGTTTAGGGCTCAAGGGCTTAGGGTTTCACTCTGTCTGAAAAGTAAAATCCTTGTTCTAAGTAGCATTAACTAACTTACACTGCCCCCACGCCTGTGTAAAGATGAAGATTTTTGTATATCCCTGTTCTAGGAACCCCTAACCTAACTCTTAAGTTCCCCGCCCGACCCCCCCCCCCTCTCCGAGTGCAGAACACCCTAAACGCCTAAAACCCTAAACCCTAAGCCCCAAAACCCTAAACCCCAAAACCCCTAAACCCGAAACCCCTAAACCCTAAACCTTAAAACCCCAAACCCACAAAACCCTAAAAACCCTTTTGACCCCTAGAGAAGCGAGAAGAGGTCCGGACAGCTTCTTGGGATCCCACACCTTCAATGGGCAAAAGAAGGGACCCTTCTTGAGTTTAGGGTTTCATGGTTTTGTGGTTTTGGAGTTTGGGCTATCTAACGGGTATCTAACAGCTATATTAAGGTTAGGGCTTAGTGTTTAAGGTTAACCCTATAGCGGGCCATATAGTGGGTATATAATGGACCTCCAATGGGTTGAGGGAGGCTACATAATTAAGGTCGGGGTTTAGGGTTTAGGGTTAACCATATAACCGGCTATATGTTGGGTATATAGTAGCTCTATTCAGGTTATATACCTCGTGCCGAAAAGTCTAAACTAAACACCGAATCCTGAACAAACCTACAAAACCGAACCCTAAACCCTAAACTAAATCTCGAATGCTAAACTAAACCCTATAAGCCCTAAACTAAACTCAAGACTAAACCCACCCTACAGCCTAAACCCCAAACAAGGTAGAAGTAGACTGGAGGGCTTTTGGAGCATTTAGTCTAGAGTTTGGGGCGATCAGGGTTCAGGGGTGTTGAGGCTCTGGGATGAGGGAATAGAGTTTAGCATTGGGTGCTTTGGGGGCATGTGGCCTACAGTATGCAGGTACAGGGTTTAGGGGCAACGTTTCTAAGGCTTGCATGCTTTAGGATGTCGGTGTCCTCCATCAATGCCTCGCTGCTTAAACACAGACTCTCAGTGTTTAGTTTAAGGCCCCCCCTAAAACCCTCAACTAAACCCTGAACCCTAAACCGTGACCCAGCGCCGGTGCAGGTGCGGGCCTTCTGTTATCTATCTTACCTTTGGTTAGTAGGGATTGGAGGACTGGGGTACAATTACAAGTACTATTACTGCCATTCTTCCATTCCCTACTAACCAAAAGTAAGTTATGCAGCTTCATGAGGTCGCTGCCTTCAACTTTCGCAAATGTTCAAGTCGTAAGGGCTGCTAGCTTTTAGGCTGCTGGATGGAGGCTCAGTTGTGAGAATGTCATCTGACAACCTAAACCCTAAACCCTAAACCCTTTTTGCCACTGGGCTCGGGGAGAGTCTAAACCCTAATCCTAAGGGGATTGTCGGCTTCGGCCCCCTGGTATCTGCCCAAACGCCCTGATCCCACAAACCCCAACCCAATTCTATACTGAACTTAGAACCCTAGCAACAATTATAATTTTAGCTGTTTCTTGGGGATTATAATAACCAAAAATTAAAAATTATTTCTAAGTACGCCTAAGAATTGGATCCAGACTTTGAGTGAGATTGTGCGAGCATTCAGTTGCTGGCTCAGTTGCATGCCCTGAACCCTGCCCTAAACCCGAAATTCTAAACCCAAAACCCTCAACCCTAAGCCCATAAACCGTATACCCTAAAACCCTAGGCCCTAAACCCTAGACCCTAAAACCCGGAGCCCTACACCCAACACCCTAAAAGCCCTAAGCCCCAAACCCTGCGGAGCCAAGCCCATAACCCAAACCCGGCCTGGTCGTTGATGCTGACCAACTCGGCGAAGCCGATAGGTTCACCCCACGCATCCTTGGAGGGTCTAGGGCTGCAGAGTTTAGGATTTGTGTCGGTTGTAGGATTTGG